AGAGAGATAAGGGGTGTTAGGTGGTAGTATATAACCCCCCCCCCAGGTAGAGGTCACCCCCTCTACTATCTCAACCATGGCTTATGTCACAATCCTCTCTTTCCTTACACCCAACTTTTCTTCAACAAATTTCATCCTTTTTTATACCGTCCTTTTCCTTTTTAATTTCGGTACTGTCATATTCGCATCCTCGCCTGTCTCTTTTTCCGTCTCCTTTTACCACTTGTGCGTTTCTCCGTGGCGGGGATTGTGTAGTGTGGCAGACGACCAGACAGCCATTTCACGTACAGTCGCGTGCATCGTCGAGCCCAATGTCAGGGTCCCTTGGTTATATACCACAACACAGCGCTTACTATCTACATATAACTTAAGATGGACACTCTGCCCTCCTTGTCATAGTCACGTTTACCATCATAACATTTAGGTTCACACCATAATAAATGCCACTGATGAGAGAAAGTGGGAGAACGTTCGTCTGACGCAGTTCTGTATTATCTGTGCGAGGTGGGAGAAAAAATACGCATCACCACCCAAGGTAACGCTCGCCACTGATAAAACATATAGCAGTGAGTAGTTGCCACACCCTCGACGATAAGCCATGCATAGCAATGAGTGGCACATTCAGGAATACAGTACATTACAGTCGTACTAGTCTGCCTGCTCTCACACCAGTCTGCTTGCACTCGCACCATTAAGCAGCTAACGATACCAGATGTTATTATCAGTACTGTGCTTTTGTAAGACATACAAAACCTTTAGCGAACGTAACGACATGCCTCGGTTCTAAGTTCGCCAAATGGGAACGCCACATTTTTCTATTATTTGTTTAACTCCTATATATGTTTCTATCAATAATTTGTCTGGAAAAAGACTATACATTCAATTTCTTTAATTGCACATAAAATAACGAAAGCTTGTTTTTCTTTGTTGAATCATGGCTGATGTACTGTACAGTACAGTAGGTTGTTGCGCCAATCTTAAAATTGTGCCACTCAGCAATAAACTGAAAGACTACTTACAGAAACTAAAACGAAGAAATTTGGAAATATTACGATCCTCACTCATAGCCCTGGGAACTATTTTTTCTTTATGCTCTTGACAATATTTACTACAAATGTCTAAAATATAAGACAAACAAATGATCCAAAGACACTCTACAGACAAATCAGTCTAATTAATCAGGACTAATCTTGGTATCCAATTACTGTATATCAATCTATCATCATTGTTTTATGGCCATTTTCTATGCTTGTGTGAGTTAGTCGAGATTAACTGGTGGCAGCTTCCGTGCAACACAGTCTCTCGCTGCCTCTCTCACCAGAATAGGAACTTTAATGTCACTTTTCACAACCTCTCCCCTTGTCATTCTTGACTTACCCTTGACTCTCCTCCCCTCCTCATTTAGTACTCACTCATAGCTTCTCCTAATTGGTCTTCTCCATATAATTTACATACCCAAATCATCTCATTATGTCACTTGCGAGCATTACACTTATTGATATTCAGATAGTGTGATAGAGCCTCCTTATCGTCTAAGTGACATACAAACTGTCTCATCATACAAGGTCTACACGTACACTCACCAAAAACTTCTCGAACGCTATAAGCACTATGCAGTCTGAAAATTTGAACGAAGAATCTGAAACCATTCCGAGATGACAAGCCCCATTCTGCTCATTCTCACATCCATCGTGGCCAGGTGTTCGAGAAGTTTTTGTTGAGATACCTGTCTGTTTACCTCTAGATTTGTTAATGGGTGAAACTGTCCTCATCATTTTGTTGTAGTTATTAGGTTCTGTTATCGCCACGCGCAATTGTGCGCGCCGGCCACATGTTAAGTGAAGAAACTGTTTACAACTCAGAATAGCTTACTAAGCGAAATGGGCTGGTAGCAGCTGTGTGACTGCCTGAGGGATAGTCTATCGCCTTCTACTGTAAAGGCAACATCTTGATTCTCGTCAGCCAATATCTTTCTGCAGGACATTATATTTGTTCTCGTTGGTCTAACCCTAGACCCCATAACGTGAGTGCGATTGTGAACTGTTGAATCCTCTGAGAACTCTAAATAACTTTAATAAGTGTAATTATGTACTGTATATTGATCGTATTATTCAAACTGTGTCCTGATGTACCAGCAGTTGTTATATGTGAATTGTATTCAACAGGTTTTGACCGAATTATACTCATCGCGTCAACAACAAGTGTCTTATTGTCCTGCACAAACCAAAATCGCTCCTATGAGCGATAACAGATTCGTTTGAGACACCACAGACACACTGACAGCTACATTTAAGGTGCCCCTGTTAACTTGTGCTAATGAAGCTTATCTTTGGGGTTAGTGGCACTTCTTACAGCAGCTACTTGTCAACCCGCTGCATATACCTAATCAAATTTTAAGTCCTCTGTGGGAAGGGTAATCATGGTTTAGCTGGACAGGCTGTTTGGTGAGACACAATGGTTACTTTGTCCTTCGTTGATGTCACTGTCGTCTTCTCTCACCGTCTAACAGAATATTCAACATTGTCTGTAAACTTAAATTGATATAATATATTTTACAGAAACTTGAAGAGATGCTTCGGTAATACAGTGGACACGTGATGATAACTGAAAAAAGGACCATGATTTTAGGGTTGAACAGTAACCCTAAGATTAAGTTGACATACAGTATATATATAAACATTAAACCAGTGGGATATGTTACTCCTAAACCTCTATCAGGAAGGTTAAGACCACGCTCAGTTAGACTTCTCCCCACACTGAAAATCTTGCAGTTAATATTTTTCTTGTTTTATTCAGTTGTTGGACGATACTGTATCAGATTTAATTTATTAATAAATACGACTAGGCAAGTCAGGGACTCTAGATCACTCTCCGTGTTAAAAATAATTAATCGTTCCACTCTGCGGCCACGTGATCAGGGAGTCACCTACCCATCTGATGATGACGTAGCGGAACAGCAGATTTGTATCATTGGAATAAAGGGTTGCAACCACCACCTTGGCAGCGTTCTGATACTCCTGAAATTTCTCCAAGAGGAACAGTGTGGCAAATGTAGCCGTGACAATCTTTCATTTCCTGAGAGAAGTAAGAAGAGGCTCTCGGTATACTGTACAGTGAGCTGCTTCATGATGCGCTCGCATTTTTATTTAAATCATCTTACTTTTATAAATGATATAGTTAAAAACTTACATTGCTATATTATTTAAAGCATACTCGTCTTAGCAGTCAGAAGAGAGGCTTGTGTGCCAGAGAACTGGGGTTTGGATTATCAAATGAAACAGTTATGACGTAACGCGCTTGTGTTGTAGACTATTTTTGTATAATTTTTGCCACTCAGGAGGCGGCTGGTCTATCAAGTGTTTGAACAGGAGGAAACCGGGGACCTGTGATGTTTGGTAGTGAGGGTTACACTGGATAACACCCGTGTCACGCGTGTCCAGGTCAATGGTGACCTGGCAGGTGACTAGAGCTAGCACAGATATTTTATTGTTTTCAGTGGACATTCCCCTTCGTCCTTATCTCCCCTCAAGTTCTGGCAGGATAAACAACTAGCATCCAGGCGTGCCCCTGGTTACGTCCACGAATGAATTAAGTCGACGCACGACCGGGGTTACCTGTGTGAATTACACATGACGAAGTCCACCCAAGTAACTTGGGTTACACCAACGTCTATAATATTCTCTAGTCCTTGGGGGAACTGTGACTATTTAGGGCAATTTATGTTACTGGTGTGTGTGTGTGTGTGTGTGTAATAATAAATAATAATAATAAACGGTTTATTAATAGAGTTGCAGCCGGTGGCTGAAAATATACAGACTTACATTTGATTTAGACAATGATATAATATGCGTTGAATACATTTACAGGGCTGTACAGTACATAAATCAGGAGTTGTTTATTATTTTAACAATAGATGGGATGGTGCTATTCTTATATCTATCGGTGCGGGCTCTTATGGGCTGTTATGTGTGTGTGTGTGTTTTTTTTTTTACCCCCGTTCTTGTCTACATTTTTCTTTTCATCTATGAGTATTTTTCCTAATTATAATACGTATATGAACAAACAAGTGATTCCTGTTTTTTCTTAAGTTGAACACCTACAGTATGTAGAGTAATGTAAGTAAGGGATTGAGGGCATGGGGACAACAGCTCCTCCCACACTGGTGCAGCCGACACACTGCTCTTCAAGCTGAGGTTCCCTTGCACCTTGCAGGAAAGAAACTGTACTCGTGGAGGTGTGTGTGTGTGTGTGTTTTACTAAAGCTGGAGGGGAAATAATTTAAGAATAGTTTGAAGTTGGATTTTGAAACATTATTATTGTATTAGTACCTCTGCATATAATGTACAAACAACAAAATAAACCTTGATGTTTCTTCGTTAATATGATTATAGTGAGGTAACCATTGCTGTTATAGTGTAGCACTGTACTGCACTTACAACCAAGGTCTTTAGAGGTGTACTTTAGCCTATACCGTATATAATAAGTACACTAGCTATCAACATATAAAAGTTCAGAAAGTATACCTCTCAAGGCTCTCAATACTCTATTAATTTTCGTTTCCTCTACTCAGCAAAACCGGATCACGTGTTTAATTGCTTAGTTACGGTATCTCATAGGTTACTATATACTGTACAGTATAGAGCGCTGACCTTTTAACCTGTGATTCTGGTTTTTTTTTTCATTTTACTTAAATTTAATCCTGATGTATGAAAGGATCCATGATATATACTACACGTTTAATGTTCACGATAGGTTAACCATACGTCCATTATTTTGACTGCATGCATTTGACCATAGTTTTTATTTTTGTATTCCTAACCAGGTATCTCATTTGTGTTTGTTTTCATATTGTTCTGTTTTAATCCTTTCCTTGTGTCAGATGCCTTCTATTTCATTGTCATTATCAAAACTTTCCTCCTTTACCTCTGTACAATGCTTCTTTTCTTTTTTTTATATCTGACAGCATTATGTTGAGCCCCTTTTGTTTTTCTTTCTTACAGGGACGTGTGGGTGGACTGGTTGGCCAAGTTCACCCCTAATGCACCACAGCTCCTCACTATGACACACTGACGACTCGCCTCAGTACTACGCCATTCATTCTGGCTGCGATACTCACGACACTTATTTATCTACTCGTTCATTATCATTTTGTGCTTCGCTTATCAAAAGTGTTATCTGCAGGGCTATCAACTGGCATCTGTCAAATGCAGACGTCATTAATTTAGTAACATTTTAGTGCCGTCAACCATAGTATCTTATCTAGTTAGGCAGCCAAAATCTGCGGCTATTAACTCAAAAACCAATCCTTGTGTTTATGAAGTTTATTGACTGGCATCCTGCTGGTCACCGTAACAACCATCAGCTCTTCACGTATCAACTTTGGCAGCTGCGGCCTTGTTGTATCAAGTGACACGCTATCAGACATACTGTGAATCAACTTGGATAAATTTGGTTAGTTGTTGTTTTCCTGTGATATAAAACCAGTCACCCTCAGTATGGCTGGAACACTTGACGTCCGTCCGTCTGCCTAAAATCTCAACACGTCATTCATATCTCCAGTCTCACCGTCTTGTAGCACTGAGCTTATCTGTGATAGAGTACACCCTCCTAAAGGAACGGGTCGGAAGGGATTAAAGGGATCATCTCGGTTGTGAAGGGGTGATCTTGTAGCTGGTGATAAAACTTCTGCCTCTGTAGTATTATACGGGTTACTGTTACTCATCTGTCTAATATTGAATACACTGACCTTGAACTATACTGGAATTCACGCGCTTGCGAGTGGACTCTACCTACACTTGGTCACGGACTGTACTGGGGTGCGGCTGAGGTTAGGACAACAGTCTTAGGTGTCACCATCATGACCATTACGTATACCAGCCAGGTGGCCACCTGTCGTGGCTTCGGCTGTTTCTGGAAACTTCTCTTCAGGTGAGTAACGTTTACACAGGTACCTTTCGTGGCGATCAGTCAGAGTAACCTTAAGATGATTGTACAGGGTTGTCTGGCTGTACCGTGCATGTCTGTAGCAGGTAACTGCGGGATAATATTGTTTCAGTTAAATCTAAAATTTTGTAAAAATCCTCTATGTGAACGGGAATATTACTGTCCTGTATATGAACTGGAAGTTTGTGTATCTAAAATTCCGTTATGTAAACTGCAAATAGGTTAGTAAAATACTGTAACCCTGACGTCATTTGATGATAATTTCAGTGTGTGAATAGAAACTGTGCCCAGCTTCCTATTTAGTATTAAATTAGAAGAAAGAAGGAAATACTAAAAACTGGGGTACAAAGGAGCACAAACTGCGATAGATTCCAGTTTGGGGAGGAGGATATTGCCTTTTGTCACGGATTGAAAATTAATAGTTTCTATACTTTTCAGGTGTAGAATAAAACTTTTGTAACATAAGTATTGTGTTAAGTAAAAACTGGAAAAATAGAGAGAGCAGCTTGAGTAGTGGAGAGGAGTTTAGCCATCGGCCTCTTGGAAGCAAGCAAGTCGTGCACCAGTACACTAATCAATAATCTCGGAAATTCGGATCAGTGGAAAGTCCCCAGAGTGTTTTATGACGCACCTCGTCAAACGTCTTGTTGGGCGGCTTCTGTGACTTAATGAATTTGAACGTAATGGTCTAATGTTGCATAAACAATGTGATCCTGCTAGTGCGTGTGGTTTTGAAATAAAACGGAGTGTTCTTCTAGGCATTGTATTAGATTGTTCTAAAATGGATTTATTTTCCCCAGAGTAAATCTTGAGTTAACTCATCCAGATATATATTATAGTACAGCACTTTCTTGCACTTTGAACTCCCAAGATGAAAATTTCCGACAGCTGGTCTTTGTTTATCTATGACGTCACAAATAGATAATGGCGCGGGTTCGGGACATCTTTGATGATGGTTTCATGTTACTATTGAATGGAGAAAAGTCATTATTATTTTGGTAATGCATTTAGATATCTTGAACTTGAACATATGGTACATTTTTTTATCCAATGGCTGCTTAAGTAAAATAAAATGATAGAAATTTGTTTTTTATTCAATTTTCTGACTAAACCCAGAAAAGAAGTATTGAGCTATGTTCCTTTGCACTTTGTTCAGAAGAATTTGTATGGGAACAGTCGTCGCGGAACTTTATATATTGTGCACGGGAACCAGTACTTACAGTATAACTTGCTTTCAAATCTGTTCCGGGATTTGTGGGCAGTGAAGATATGGCGTTATTGTCACTCTTACTGAGGCACAATAGCAGAACCGTAATGGCTGGCCCAGGCGTTGACGGCCAGTAAGACAAATTCAAGTCGGCTCTTTCCTCTGTCTTTCCGCTCGAGCTTTCTCCGAAAATCTGGATAACTGCCAACCACAATCGTCACGGCTTCTAGTGGGTACTGGGTAGTGCATTGACTTACGACGCCATGGGATATATTAAGTCATTGGCTGATATAATTTGGACCTCTTGCTCAGGGTTTGTAATCTGAGTTGGGGGTCTTCCCAAGGCCCAAATTTGCTGCTCGGTGACTGGTCAGGATATCACAACCACCTGTTCCGAGAAACGGGGTTTGTTACGCGTGATAAGTGTTCTTGCGTCCATTACTCAAGGAAATTTGTACATAAATGTGATGGAATGTGCCTTGAATGTGTATTTTTTTATTATGTCATATTCGCCACTTAACAGCTTAGTAGCCGTTTGAGCGGTTTACCCAGTGTTAGTACAGGAAGAAACCGGGACCGGGAAACCTGTGGTACTTGGTAGTGAGGGTCACACTGGATAACACCCTTCTCACGTGTGTACGGACCGAGGCTCGAACCCTTTACATATTGGTGAGAGTTATGCGCGTTAGTTATTTCTTGAGAGTGATTTCATTTCGTACCAATGAGTGTTCTCGTGACAGTGTTTCATAAGTCACAAGAACACTCGGTGATTACAGTGAATAATGTGTGTAATAAGAGCGTTTATGATAGAATATTGTGGAGGCTATGATATTGCTTATGATGAAACAGTTCCCCAGTATATTACTTTCTCCGGTTAATTGAAACAACAGAGGATTGCTCGGTATTGTAGAAAGGGACACTTGCATTGCTAAAAATCTAAAATGCCATGAAGGATGTCCCTAAACTCCCCTGGGAGGACTATACGGGTTTGCTGCGCCCATTCACGTTTTCATCACAGGGACTTTATTCAGACAGCCACCCGAGCTGATACACGTTTCTATTTATGTTACTTGCAGCAGTGCCACGTTTCCTCCCTCTTGGACTCCTACGTAAGGTAAATGTCGACACATGTTTTCTTCCGTCGGCCTGTTAAATTTTAAGTTTTTGATTGTTGTCCCGTGAAAACAATCCTTTTATCTTGATTCATATTTTATATTTTGCCACTTTTGTGTGTAAAGTCGCAGGTTACTGGTGCCACCATATCGGGAATACTTGCCTTACTGGTGGCTATGCTTAGTAGGATTATACTTGCCTATGCAATTATATTTGAAATTGGTTACCGAAGACATTTGTGTCTCCATTACACTGAAATTATTTTTTTGCTTAGATTCTCAGAAAATAGCCTTGATATTGCTCTGAAAATATGATGTAATGAAATACATTATCTGAATACCTCCAGGCAGGGAATAAAATTGAACAAAGGAACTTGAGATCCTGAGGCCAAGGTGTTCACCCCAGCCTTCCTTCTAAGGTTACAGCCTTTACCTGCGGCACCCAATTGACGCACTCCCTTCCGTACCCCCGACATCTGTACCACTCTCCTGCATCCCCACACCTGTACCTCCCTCCATCACCCCATCACCTGCATCCTGGTCGCAATTACTCCCGAGATCGTCCACTGAACTCGTACACGAAACGATTGTATCAGGCAAATGTGGCACGACACCTTGTGTGCGTATCTTGTCTGTGCGTGTGTGTTATGTCGTGGGTCTGTAGGGGTAAATTGGGACCATTGGCTACTCGATTCATAATGAAACGGCTAATTCTTTAAAGCAATGTTTAGCTCAGTGGTAGTATTCCTGATTATCACGCTGTTGGCGCTGGTTCGAAATTCAATTTTAAATGTAAATTATTATTATATTGAGGATGACTTATTTATTTCTGAGTTTGTTGATTGGACATAGAAGAGTACAGTTTGGTAACATATTTTTTAGCTTGATATGTCTGAGCATGTTGAGAGGAGGAACTATGACTGACAGTGATGTTGGTGTTGACAGGTGGAAGGGAAGCATCTACAAACTGGTGTGGCCAGAGCTGCTCGTCTACACTATCGTCTACTACCTCTTCAACTTCTTGTACAGATTCGTCCTCAGCGATGACCAAAAGAGGTAAGGAGTTTGTCTTAATATTATACCAGTGCAGCCTAAGAGTATATAATGATAGGGCATTATCGGTGTTTGTCTCGTGTAGTCTTAAGTATTCATTTAACACACTGCTCTTAGTTTATATCCTGTACTCCCCCTACCACCTCCCAGTCTGGATATCTTATGAATCCCATAACATAAAGATAATTGGATGTCGTGAAAACTTAACTAGTGGGTGTAACTGAAACAAGACCTTCAACGAGTTCGGTAGTTGATTTTCTTCCCTGCTGTGACTTGTTTTGTCCAAGAACCCTGTATGGACCCTGTCGGTCAATTTGATCGAAGTAGTTACCGTTAGAAGTAGTTAACCAACTAATCTGTATACCACCATTTCAGGGGTTAGCTTTAGGGAACAGCTGCGAAACTCTCCGGTAGATTATTTAAATTACTTTGATAAGCTGCTACTATTTTAATTTTCTTGGGGCACGTAAACGAAAGTGCATACTGGCGAGGTTGGGGTGTCATTGCAGGGCGGTGGTAGCGATGTTTTATAACGACTCTCATCAGAGAACAAGGTTCGTATACAAAACACCACAGCCACCGCCCTTACAGTCACAGATGAAGGGATAACACACACACACAAACAAGAGACCTCCAATATGGGCAACCCAGATTTACTTTTACCCACTTCGCCTCTGATGGAATCGCTAGGCTCTTGAGCGGTCACGTCTCGCGTTACGCACTGCTGGCAAGTTTAGTAATAGGGCATGCACCAGCTCCTGGATGTATCTGCGCGAGAAGGACCATAATGTACTGTATATAATAATCAGTGACTTCATGACTGCTAGAAGATCAACAAATGGAACCGTCATAGTTTTTCACGATACTAAATTATGTTTAGATCACCTCGTTGAGTTTTGTGTTGGCAAATGTTGTTAAAGGGTACGGTAGGATAATAGAATGTTTAGCAAATTATAAACTGAAAAGTTACTAATTTTGGGCAAGTTAAAGCTCAAAGATCCACAGGGATGCGAGATATTGAGCGAGGCAAGACTGGTTATAACCGGTTGGAGGGAACCCGTCAGTACGTTTAGTCGGTATAAACTGGTGAAGGTTTGTTTTCCGGGTTCCATGACAAAACCCCAACGGACAAAACCCCAACGGGGTTGTCATTTGTCAACACTAACCTAACCCAAGCTTAAAAGTGTTTTATTTTATATTTTATATATGAGACTGGGGTTTTGTCCGTTGGGGTTTTATCCGGTCACTGTTTTCCGTGTGTGAGAGTTGACCAAGACGCGGTTGGAATGGGAGGTGAAGGTGCGGCCTGATGAAACACTGCACCACGTGACTTAAACTTGGGCATTGCTTTTGTGTTTATTTTTCAAGATACTTTCGTATACCGGTTAACTTGAGTGATTTATAGCTGCAGTTGGTTACATGTTAATAAAAAAAATGCTGACAAAAACATGTCCGTCGTCTGATGGTGCTTGAGTGTACGTGACGTCAAGAAGGCGGGTTAGTATTGAAACAACATTGTTTCCTTGGTGTTGACTGACGACTCAGCATCGTATGAGCTGCTGTGGTCTGCCAGACGCATGTCAAGCCCTGTGACTTAGATTTAATGCATTTCTGTTTTTTTAATTGCCTTTATCGTCATTCGCCACTGATCAGCTCGTTAGCTTTTTCACACCTTGTTAATTTTGTAGAGCTAGGTGAACGATTGGCCATCCACCGCTCTAACACTTACACCCATCCACCAGTAGACGAAGCCGACGTTTGGTATCGACCTCCTGGCGCCAGCAGCTTGTTATCCGCAACACCGCCTCCTATTTTGCAGATGGAACCACTGCGATCCTTGGATATCCTCTGAAGCTTATTTCTGGGATATAGTTTAACGAAACTAGCACCAAAATATGCGTACTGAGACTTACGTTACATGGACATATTCAACGAAGGTTCAACCCCAGTACTGAACAGGTTATATACAACCCGGTAAATTTATAGTAGTTCACACAACTCTGTTAGAAAGTGAAAACTATGTTTTTCTAGTATTTTTTGTGTGTTTTGATTGGTTCTGACCTTGATTTCCGTCGGAAATTGCGTTTTTTTTAGTTATCGCCCCCCTTCTACCCCCAACAAGATAAGGGGATCCTGTTGGGAACCGGGGTTTTGGGTGGGGGAGAGATACAAGCGTTTTCCGACAAAAATCTTGACCAAGTGTATTCAAAACACACCAAAAAACAATAGAAAAACATAAACCTAAACTTTTTTGGGGGATGACCTGACTTAACTCTCACGGTGTTTTTACGTAACCAGACTCTCACCATACCACAATTCATTTTAATTGATGGCAAAAAAAAAGAATGCTTTTGATTCGCCTAGTGACGTGTACGGGAACGCATGCGCATGACGATTATGAAGGGAAGATTAATGGAATTAAATAGAGAAAGATTTGGCATGCGCTATCTCCGTTATTATACGCTTCCCACGGTAATGTAATATAAGAAAATTATCTTAAAATTAGACATATTTTTCGTAAGTGATAATAGATTTGGGGTATGAGTGTTGAGTGAACTATAAAAGTACCTACAACCCTTCGTGTGATTCATCAAAGTTACTGGACGCCATAGTGGGCATACTAGAAATTTAATAATACGTTCTAGTCTAATGGAACTGGACATCCTGCTGCCCAGTTTTTGTCCCTTTTAACCTCTCATTGTAATCCCACGAAGAAAAACGGAATGCTCTTGTGTTATAAGGTGTTCCGATATGGATAATTCTTTCTGCCTTATTCACACTTGGATTTATCGTAGTGTTGGGACCTCCAGAGACGTAAACCTTGGTAAATAAATACCTTTATTGGACTAGTGGCAGCAATCTCGTAGGAGTGGGGGGGACTTCATCTTATAACGCAGTACGATTTTTTTTTTATGAAATGCCCCACTTATTGAATGCTTGCTAAGCCATCACTGCACGGTATTATTTTGTACGTATTTTTTATAACTCATCCTATCTCTAGTATTATATGCAGTACTGTATATTGTACTACTGAATTCATTATGACCTAATGTAGAAACTGTCAAAAGAACTTAAATAGACAATGTAAGTTATCAGTTTATTCTGGCTGGCAACTCAGTGCTGTACACGAAGTAATACGCAGTAAAGATGAAGCAATCTGCTGTTATTACTTCCAAGAACCCGACTCCGGCCTCAGACGTCGCGGTCTGCCCTCAGACTTTTTTCGGAGTCGTGAGATGTCTATTATTTTCTACAATCTACATGAATTGTAACCATCAGACTACTTAACCAAAGTAGGCTGTAGGGTCAGCAATATACTTGTACACATACTAATACAGTACATGTGTAGTGTTACTGTTTGCAACATGGTGCTATTTTGAGTTAGAATAGATTTTTTGCTAAATAGACAATAACGAGGTTGTTTTATTCAAAGATGTGCATGTTAGTAATATGCAGTATTGTTGCTCATCAATATGTTGTTTCACTTTCAAGAAATATTTATCCAGTATCAGAATTTTATTTTAAATTTACTTTAGTGAGCATGCAATAAAAATACTACGAAGCGATCAAACTGTTAATTCACATTGAGTTAAACCCTTACCACCTGCTTCTCCTTAATAACTACACTACACAAATACAAAAATATGATGTTACCGTGAGACCGATGGAGCATATGCTAAACATTCATTCGTGCTGACAAGCAGATAATTAATGAAAGCGTAATTTGGCCTGAGTCAACGTAACATGTGTGCTGCAGTGTCTTCAGTTAATAGTTCACACATGTCACTTGGAAATTGCTTTTAACATTTTGGATTGATAACTTTTTTTACAGATTAATAATATAATGATTAATAAATATTTGTTTATAGTATTAACTTTTTTGGTAATTTGACGTAGTATTCTTGTTAATGTATATTTTGCTTGAATAAAATACACTCGTTTGTGTACAGTATATAATACTATTGCCAGTAATAAACTCTAAAATTATGAATAGAAGAAAAGCAATGGCAAAGAATAATATTGACCTCTGAAGGACTTAAGGTGCTCATAATCCCAAATAAATCACGGGTGCTCCTGATGACAGTGCCCCGAGGTGACTGATAGGTGTTCATGGTTATGTCAACTGACTCGGAAGTGCTCTTAATATGGTCATCTAATCCACTGGTGCTAAAATAACACCAAGTGACCCACAATGACACTAAATCGGCTCATAATTATGCCAAGTGGCTTACAGTGACTCCAATGACACCAAGTGACTTCTATTGATACCAAGTGACTCATAATGGTATCAAGTATCTCATAATGATGCCAAGTGACTCATCATGACGTCAATAGACTCATAATTTCGCCAAGTGACTATAATGATTGTTTATCAGAACAAGGCTGTTCAATCCAGAGGAACAAGAACACATATAGCAGTGAATAGGTGTACACCTATTGACCCACCCTACAGTAATGAAACGAGGCAAAGATCTGATCCAACAAGGAACATGAAGGGAGAAGGAGTTCTCGGCTTCGTATTAATAAGAGAACTGGCTCTGTGACCCTGTAAATCCAAAAAATGCTGCTCTCGGGCCAGCAGTAAGTAGGGGTTATGCCAGGAACATTCCTACAGTAAACAGGGCATACCACCATAGACTAACCTAGATAAGATCGATATGTGAAAGTACGGTGACCTAGAAAAACTGAGTAAAAGGGGCCATGCTCAAGCCTGAGTTCCGGGTTGGAAGAGGACCTCTGTCCCCTGCCTTGAGCTATAGGCCGGGCAGTCATGAGTCCCCAGCTGCTGAGCCTCCCTCAGATTACACGAGTCATTGTCAGAGCAACCCATAGGGCGAATTACTCTGGTAGGAAGTGTATCCATGTATAGGTATTATGTATGGTTAGCTGTCAAAACGTTCGGTCCTAATCATAGTGTCATCTGTTCACTAGTAACGTCACCATATGTGATCTTGTGTAAGTTTGCTGTAGGGAGAGATCAGAAGTGTTGATTGAATTCATTCACGTAACTGATAAATAACTATGTACTGTACTGTTGTCATAGAAAATCCCCCCCCCCCCCAGACCAAATGTAACTGTGATTACACACTCACTCGGCCACGTTACCATCTTCCTCTTTGCAGTACATCTTACTAAAAGTTCTCACAATATCTTCATAATGAGATTTTCCCTCATTTCATGTCTCATAATATTACCAAGGGACTCACAATATCACCAAGTGACTCATAATGGTACCAAGTGTTTCTTAGTGACACTGAGTGTCTCATGATTACACCAAGTGTCTCACAATGACACCAAGTGTCTCACAATGACACCAAGTAACTCAATGACACCAAGTGAGTCACATTGACACCAAGTGACTCACAATGACACCAAGCGACTCACAATGACACCAAGTGACTCATAATGAGATGGTTTGTGCATGTAGATAAAATGGAGGAGACCAATTGGGTAAAGAGATGAGCGAGTATTAAATGTGAAGGGGAACAGAGCCAAAAATGACAAGGGGAGAGGTTTTGAAAAGTAACATTAAAGTTCCTATTCTGGTAAGAGAGGCACCGAGAGACTGTGTTGCACGGAAGCTGCCATCAGTTAATCTCGACTAACCCACACAAGCATAGAAAATGGCCATAAAACAATGATGATAGATTGATATACAGTAATTGGTTACCGAGATTAGTCCAGATTAATTGGACTGATTTGTCTGTGGAGTGTTTTTGGATCATTTGTTAGTGTCTTATATTTTAGATATTTGTAGTAAATATTGTCAAGAGCATAAAGAAAAATAGTTCCCAGGGCTATGAGTGAGGATCGTAATTTTTGCAACATTTATTTATTGCGGTTTTAAGTGATTTTTAACATGAATATAGAATACCTTGAACACATTTCTTTTGTATTTAAAACGTCTTTTGATTTAAACACATATCGTATACTGCATGAACTAACATTCTTTTATTTCTCCTTACAGGATATTTGAGAATGTATCAGTGTTTTGCCAGTACTTCAGTGATTTAATTCCGCTGTCATTCGTGCTTGGGTTTTATGTGTCCATTGTGGTTCAGCGATGGTGGGAACAATACATGACCATCCCCTGGCCTGACTCTCTGGCACTCTTTGTGTCTACATCCATCCATGGCCAGGTTGGTGGTGAACTGTCTACACTTTTGTATAACCATGGAGCCCAGTATGCAGTACTGTATTGTACACTTAATGAATACCTCCTGTATACTACTTATTCATACGTAAGACTTCAGACTGTTGCTATATGAATTTTATCACCTATTCTATGTAGTGTAGTTATTTAGTAGAATGATTGAGACCTTTAAAATGATGTAAGGGTTATATCAAGGAGACATGACAAAAGCAATACTGTACTGTACCTACCAGAAAGGTACAGTTTTAAAAGCTGTTCAAGATCTGTCCACATGCTGACTATAACATCAAGTAATGTCAGAGAAGCAGATGAAGAGCTAGATATTGAGATGCAGTGTCCATATGTGGATTCTCGAAGTTATATTATTTTTTTTAGCCACTGCATTGGTTTCAGGAGGAGACCGTGATTTACCTAAAACTGTGGTGACGATACTGTATTCAATAAATTTTTCAGGGATGAATGGCTTCTCTGTTTAGGTAATGCAGACCCAGCGAATCATCTCCAATAATTGCTTTACTACAGGATGAATATTTAAAATGTTCAGTTGCAATATCAGTACTGTAGTTAGAGCAAAGACTTTTTTTTTTTTTTCAAAGTTTGTGGAAGATTTTTTCTTCTATTTCTACTTCTTTCAGGGTTTAGGGGTTTTGGTACCTAGATGATGCAAGGGTTAACCATTTGTTGTTCCATATATATGAACATTTCTAGTGATTTTTAGATTATGGAAAAAAAATCTAAAATATTGTCAGCAATTTTTATCTGGCATGACAAACTTTGGTACCTTGATGATGATGATTGTGAAATGAAGAATTGCTCCAATGACTATTTTCTATTCAACAATTACCCCAATAGTCTTAACTTGCAGATGACTACACCAGTACCCAAAATGCATTGCAATCTTTTTCAATCTGCCATCTTTGAAGCAGTCATAGCAAAGCAATGCGGTTAACAAATTACTTTACTTTTACTTTTATCCTCTTCGCCACTGATCGGCTTGTTGGCTGTCACGAATATACCAGTTGGTCATATCACGCACTGTTGGCAAATACTGGGCATGCACCGGCTCCTGAATGTACCTGAACCCGCTCCAGTGTTGGTCAAGTCTTCTCTTGAAAGAGCTCACACTCGGTGCCGTCACAACACTTTCTGGTAGATTGTTCCAAGAGTTTACAACCCTCACTCCGAAAAAGTTTGCCCTCACGGTTTTCCGGACTTGCGGCTTCTTCAATCTTGAGCTGTGACCCCTTGTGGGGCGAGCGTCCGCCAGCTCCAAGTAAGGACACTCAACTGAGTAGTGCCCCCTGAGATGCTTATAAACCTCAACTAGGTCCCCCCTTGCCCGTCTGTAGTATAAGCTAGGCAAGTTCAGGCGCTCCAATCTCGCAGGGTAGCTGAGATGCCGAAGTGCAGGCACCAGCTTGGTGGCCCTCCTTTGAACATTTTCAACCAACTGACAGTCCCTAGCATATCTCGGGGACCAGATGGGGTGACAGTACTCCAGATGGGAAGCACTTCACTCCTGAAGATCGTCACGAGGGACGGACCGTCTAGATATCTGAACGACCTTCTTATAAGACCCAATAATTTATTTGCCTGATTTACCTTCTTCTCACAATGGCCCGAGAACTTCAGCTCATTGTCAACATACACACCTAGGTCCTTCTCACACAGTCTCAACTAGTACATTTTCTTCATCCCGTTGGGACATATGGTACGCCTCCTTACCGTTGGTATGCCCCAGGTGCATCCTCTTACACTTCGTGACATTGAATCTCAGCAGCCATTCCTTCGACCATTCCTGGAGCCCACAGAGGTCCTTCTGCAGCTCTTCACAGTCCGCTTGGTTCTTAATTTCCCGAAATAACTTGGCGTCATCGGCAAACATTTGTATGGAGGAGTGTACAACGTCAGGCATATCATTTATGAAACAAACAAACAACAGCGGGCCCAATACACTACCCTGCGGTACCCCACTTGTTACAGGTACAGATGACGATTTCGTGCCATTAATCACCACACATTGCTTGCGGTCATGTAGAAAGTCTTCTATCCACGCTAGGACATTTCCCCGAATTCCGTACCCTTCCAGTTTGATTTTCAGCCTTTCGTGGGGTACACTGTCGAAAGCCTTGGCAAAATCTAGGTAAATATTGTCGATATTACCACCCTGTTCTAGAATATGGGTCCAAATATCCAATACCTTGAGCAATTGTGTCAAGCAAGAGCGCCCCGGCATAAAACCGTGTTGGCAATCTTTTTCAATCTGCCATCTTTGAAGCAGTCATAGCAAAGCAATGCGGTTAACAAATTAGGTTGATTTGGCTGATAAATACAGTATGGAATATATGCATGCTGGTAAGCTCGTGTGTTGTCTTTGGCTGTCACAATAATTCAAATACGGGTTCCGTTCCTGATGACGTTCATAAGTCGGAACACATGCAATGTGCATACTGTACTTGCAGAACAATGCTTAAAATCCCACTATACCATAGCGTAAGTCCTTATACACTGTACTTATAAAATCACTTAATTTAAGACAAAGGAAGAAATAGAATGACAAAATACAGTAAATGAAAGTAAAAACAAATAAGTCATCAGGTAAATAAAATACTGTAAATTTTAAGTTTAACCCCGTTCGTATCGTCGTTCATTCTTAATTCGGGGGCCCCCTGTATTCAGTATTATTAAGGGCCAATGAGAGACAACCAGCATAAAGGTCTATAAATTTTTGGCTGATAAACCTACCTGAGAATGTCTCGCTCTGCCAAACGCCAACAATCTGTTGCTTCCAAAGTTCATATGCCTCACTTCCTTCACCCATCCACTGACAAAATAATTGTAAGAATCCAGAGACTTGTAAGCTTTCAACTCAAGTGTATACAATACTTGTACAATATGCACTTTGGGGATTTATGAGGTAGTTCACTGTGTCTGGATAAGTAATTGTTGGCCGTTGATTTATACAGGTACTGTATCAGTCAACCATTCCGCCTTCTAAATTTTGCATGGATCTTTGCCTTCGATCAGCTGAAGTTTATCACTGTATTACTTTTTTTGCTGTTTAGCTATCAAAGTCTCCCATTGTGGCATAAAAGCATTGATGTTATGAAATCCTAAATCACAAACACTATCTCTTATACCTCAAAGATGGTGGAAAGCACATGATTGCTGGGTAGGGGTGACATAACTGTAAACTATAAATTGTTACAATTACTCTGTACTGTATCTCGGTAATTGTACTATGAGTAGCCTATTTATGTATCTTTTATTGAATATGTGGTCATGGAGAGCCAGACCCATTGATTAATGTGGATGGTTTATATATATATATATATATATATATATATATATATATATATATATATATATATATATATATATATATATATATATAATATATATATAATATATATATATATATATATATATATATATATATATATATATATATATATATATATATATATATATATATATATATATATATATATAATATATATATATATCTATTATATATATACACTGAAAAATATAATATAAAAATGTAAAAATTGTAAAAAAGTGCAAAAATATGCATCTAAACCCCTGAAATAAAGAATATCATTAATACTTGTAATAAAAAAAACAATAAATTAGTAAAAAAAAATTAAATAATGTTCGTTGTAGGAGTTTCGTTCGTTATAGCATTCTCAATTTTATAGGTAAAACCATTCGTTATAGGAATATTCGTAGTAGGATCCGTTCATTATAGCATACCCCACTGTATATATATATATATATATATATATATATATATATATATATATATATATATATATATATATATATATATATATATATATGTATATATATATATATATATATATATATATATATATATATATATATATATATATATATATATATATATATATATATATATATATATATATATATATATATATATGCTGTAAATATATATCTATATCTTTGTTAACCCCACTCTTTCCTAGAACCCATACATACCTGATATTCTTTCTTCCTTTCTGTCACTTCAACCAAACATTAAGAGCACATATTACCATGAGTCATATTCATTTAACTTTTGCAGAAAAATGTTCTTTAAACTTAATCATTACCTGATGTATAAAGAACTTGCACTTATCCTTGACTCATTGAAGTGAGAACTACAGTATTAACAGGGAGCGCCTTCATTTACTCGTAATTAAGAGTATATTATGGATCAAGCCTTTGCACCATCCCTTGCATTAGTTATGTCACTGAAAGTAGATACAGGCACATTTGCACCTCCTGACTGTTATTTTTTTCCAGCCATAAGTTGCACATGTGGCACTTATATACCATATACTGGACTGTATATACTTTATTGTGTATACTGTATTAATCCATCTAGCATGTGTTCTATTCCAGACAAATCTTATGCCTATTTTCAGTATTGTCTTATGCACCTGGCACATTAATTTCCCCAGCTGAAAATGTATGTGTCCATCCTAATGTATAAAATTCTTACTCTGCAGACTTTTGTGTGTACTGTATGTTGCTAGAGTGAAGCCCCATGAGTCATTGTTATTTGTTATTCCATAAGCATATTTTAGCATGTTGGAATTGAACACAGATGAGAATGGGAATGTTTAAATACCATGGTAGAAATATTGAGTGATTGAGTAGTTAAAGGATGCCACAGTGAATAATAAACACAGTATTGTAAATATATTTGAATAACAAGGTGTCCAATCCTTGTCATTTTGCATTTTTATATTTTTTTATATTTTATTAATTAATCAGTTTTATGTCTTTCCTGCATCAACCTTTATTTTTTCCCTCTCAGAACACAAGGCAATTGCTGTACAGTATTGTACAGTATTCAGAAATCTTAAGCTGGATAAAATCTGTTGCTGAAGTTTGAGAAATATTAAAGCATTACAGTACCAACTTGTTTTGAATTAATAAAATAAATTTGTTTTTTCTTTGCAATAGGATTTATAA